TTTCCCACATGCACGCAGTAGGTGAGAGGTGAGCAGCATCTCCGGGGCCTGTCTGGCTCTGAATAGTCTCTACTGTGGGTTTTCATCCTTTCTCTCCCTCTCTGCACACGCACTTTCCTCCTCTTGTAGGCAGACATCAAATACTGCCTCTGTTCCTGCCAGACTGGCACCATCTGTGGACTCTGATTAAGGGTTCTGCAAGTCTCGGGGCCTTCCGGGCACCCTGCCCTGCCCGCTGTTTGCATGGCATTTCTCTGAGGCAGATCTCACTATTGGGGGTGGGTTTGCTTCTTCAGGGGGTAAAGAGTCCTTGGGAGCCAACAACAATGAATAAAGAAGGTGAAAAAGTTGGGGATTATCTTTCTTGGTAAAAATTAAAACAATGAGCCCTGGCCAGTGTTTCAGTGGTTAGAGCAGGGGTGAGGAGCAGCCGGCACTCAGGCCGAAATCATTTGGCCTGGCCCTGCCAAAGCAACTGCAGGTGGACTTGAAATTCAATAAATCTGGGAGCTTTTTCCATAGCTAATTTTTAAATTGATAATTTTGTATGGCTCTCTAATGATGTTATAAATACCCAAATGGACCTTGGCAGAAAAAAGGTTCCCCACCTCTGGGTTAAAGGGTACAACCCCACACAAGGGGTCATAGGTTCAAATCCCGGTCAAGGGCACATACCTGGGTTTGCAGGTTCGATCCCTGGCCCTGGTCAGGACGCGTGTAGGAGGCAACCAATTGATATGTTTCTCTCACACTCTCTCTCCCTCTCCCTTCCTCCGTTTCACTCTGTCTAAAAATCAATGGAAAAAATATCCTCAAGTAAGGATTAACAACAACAAAAATTAAAACAATGAGGCCTTTTAATGGAGAATGAAGGCTATTGCACAGATGTTTTGAGCAATAGCAATATTTTTGGAGTGTGCTGTTGCTGCTTGTAAGTACAGCCTTTGTTTGGATGTGTGAATTCTGATAAGTTATGTGAAAAACAAGTGTCACTTCTCCATAGGTGCATCTAGTAAAACAAGGACACTTCCAGCATGTGCAGCGGGCATCTGTTTTATTGAGTATCAGTGTGGGTCATATGAAGCTTTTGTTAAAATGGTGGTGATGGTAACCCTCTCGTGAATTGTACAGTTAGGATGGGGCAGGCTTAGAATTCATTTACAATATCAACTTCGTATCTGAACCCTGCCTTTGCTAGCAGGTGGGGCAGCATCAGGCAAATGCCTAGGCTCCAGAAAAAGACAGACCAGAGATGGAATACTGGTACCACAACTTACCCTCAGGATCAACACCTTCTATTCAATTACTGGGATTCTGAGTTTTCAATTCAGTTATGTGACACTGGCCAAGTACCCCACCTTTCTGAACCTCATTTCCTTCTTTTCAAATATGGGAGGGAAAACCCTGGCCCAGTAGTTCAGTTGGTTAGAACATCGTTTCTGTACACCCAGGCTGCAGGTTTAGTCCCCGGTCAGGGCACATGCAAGAAACAACCAATGATGCAAAACAAGTGGAACACCAGATGGATGCCCCCCCAAATAAATAAATAAATAAATAAATAAATAAAGTGAACGTGGAGGGAATAGTGCCTACCCTAGAAGGTCTTTTTTTTTTTTTTAATTAATTTTTTTTGGTCATAAAATCTGCCATCTTAACCCTTTTTCAGTGTTTCAATCTCCAGGACTTTTTCATCTTGCAAAACTGAAACTGTGCCTATTTAACAACTCCCCATTGCCTTCTCCCTATCCCATGGCAACCACCATTCTACTTTCTGTCTCATGAATTTTGACTATTCTAGGTACCTCACATAAGTTGAACCATACAGTGTTTGTCTCTTTCTGTCTGATTACTCTCACTCAGCGTTATGTCCTCAGGGTTCATTCTTGCTGTAGCATGTGTTAGAATTTCCTTCCTTGTTAAGGCTGAGTCACATTCCATTGTATGGGTGTACCACATTTTTTTATTGTTTTGTTCATTGATGGACGCTTGGGTTACTTCCACCTTTTGGCTATTGTGAGTGATGCTGCTGTGTATGAATCTGGATGTACAGATATCTCTTTGAGACCTTGTCTTCAGTTCTCTTGGGTATATACCCAGAATTGGAGTTGCTGGATCATATGGTAATTCTTTTTAAAATTTTTGAGGAACTGCCATACTACTTTCCATTGCAGCTACTGCATTTTATATTTCCACCAACAGTGCACAAAGGTTCTAATGTCTCTACATCCTCACTGGCACTTGTTATATTCTGGGTGGTTTTTTAAAATATGTATTTATTGATTTCAGAGAGAGGAAGGAGAGGGAGAGAGAGAAGCATCAATGATGAGAGAGAGTCATTGATCAACTGCCTCCTGCACGCCCCCTACTGGGAACCCCGCAACCTGGGTATGTGCCCTGATTAGAAATCGAACTGTGACCCCTGGTTCATAGGTCAACACTCAACCACTGAGCCATACTGGCTGGGCTCATTGTTTTTTATAGCAACCATCCTAATGGGTGTGAGGTAGTATCTCATTGTGGTTTTGATCTGCATGTCCCCGATCCCTGATGATATTGAGCTTTTTCTTTTTTTTCGTCTACTTGTTGGCCATTTAAATATCTTCTTTGGAGAAGTGTCTGTTCTGGTTCTTTTCCCATTTTTCAACTTGTTTTTTATTTTATTATTGATTTGTAAGAGTTCTTTACATGTCCTGGATATTAACTACATATCAGATACGTGACTGGCAATTATTTTCTCCCATTCCATGGGTTACCTTTTTACTCTATGGAGTGTGTCCTTCGATGCAGAGTTTTTTATTTTTGTGTCGTCCAACTTACTTTTCTTTTGTTGCCAGTGCTTTTGGTGTCACATTCATGAAGTCATTGTTAAATACCATGTCACAAAGCTTGCCTTTATGTTTTCTGCTAAGAGTTTTAGCTTGTAGGTTTACATCTTTTATCCATTTGGAGTTAATTTTTGTCTATGGTGTAAGATAAGGGTCTAATTTCATTCTTTTGTATGTGGGTATATAGTTTTCCCAGCACCACTTGTTGAAAAGACTATTCTTTCCCACTGAGTGGCCAGGAAGTCATTTTGTGGATAAATAAAATACTGTACATGAAGCACCTGACAGCATACCTACCTGTGCCTTAAAAAATAATGGCCCCACTCTCTCCCCCTTATTTGAGATGTAGTTTTTAACTACTGAAGTTGATTTTTATTAGTTATAATAGCAACTACCTAATAGTACGGACTCTGTGTTAGGCTCTATTCCAAGGGCTTTTCATTATTAACCCACTGAATTGTCCTAACAACTCTATGGGGTAAGTATTGTTGTTTTCACTAATGTACAAATGAGGAAATTGGGTACATAGAAGTTAAGTAATTTGCCCAAGTCACACAACTAGTAAGTGGTGGAGCCTGTATCCAAACCCATGTAGTTTGGCTCCAGAATCTGTGGGCTAATAAACTTAGCATCTCCCTGTTTGGGGTTTTTTCATTTGGCTGGGTGCAGTGAACTTTATTGATGGTGCATAGCAAGGTAGGGCTCCTTAAGCCCCTCCCCTCCTTAGGGGGTCTTGGATGGAAACTGTGGAGGTCAGGAGATTCTCAGTGTGTTGGAGGATTGATTTAGGGCAAGGAATCCCCAGAAGCTGAGGACTTCTCTTTCGCTCCCCATGGCTGGTGATCCAGGGGGCTCCATGGAGGCCATGTGGACCATAAGGCCCAGGTCCCTCTTGTTGTAATCAAATTCATTGTCATACCAGGAAATGAGCTTGACAAAGTGATCATTGAGCAACACCAGCCCTAGCATTGAAGTTTGAAGAGTGGGTGTCACTGTTAAAGTCGCAGGAGATAGCCTGGTCTTTAGTATAGCCCAGGATGCCCTTGAAGGGGCCCTCTTGACACCTGTTTCACCGCCTTCTTGATGTCATCATATTTGGCAGCTTTGTCAGATCCACAACCAACACATTGGGTGTGGGGATGCGGAAGGCCATGTCAGTGAGCTTCCCATTCAGCTCAGGGATGACCTTGCCCACAGCCTTGGCAGCGCCAGCAGAAGCAGGGATGATGTTCTGGATGGCCCCTCAGCCATCATGCCACAGCTTCGCAGAGGGGCCATCCACGGTCTTCTGGGTGGCAGTGATGGCATGGACTGTGGTCATGAATCCCTCCTTGATGCTAAAGTTGTCATGGATGACCTTGGCTAGGGGAGCCAAGCAGTTGGTGGTGCAGGAGGTATTGCTGATAATCTTGAGGGAGTTGTCATACTTGTCATGGTTCACACCCATCACAAACATGGGGCATCCACAGAAGGGGCAGAGATGATGACCCTCTTGGCTCCCCAGTTCAAGTGAGCCCTGGCTTTCTCCTTGATAGTGAAGACACTGGTAGACTACACAACATACACAGCACTAGCATCACCCCAATTGATGGCGGGATCTCACTTCTGGAAGATGGAGACGGGCTTTCCATTGATGACAAGCTTCCTTTACTCAACCTTGACTGTGCCTTTGAACTTGCCATGAGTAGAATCATGCTGGAACATGTAGACTATGTAGTTGAGATCAATGAAGGGGTTATTGATGGAGACAATATCTACTTTGCCAGAGTTAAAAGCCGCACTGGTGACCAGGAGCCCAATATGGCCAAATCTGTTCACTCCGACCTTCACCACTGTGTCTCAGGGTTGTGGCTGCTTTTACCTGGCACTGCACAGGAAGATGCAGCTGTCCGTTGAACAGGAGGAGCAGAGAGCTTTGGATGATTTTTAATAGCTTAGGCCTATCAAGAGCTTTTCACTCTGGAGTTTGGTGAATGAAGAACAGTGTTATGACACTGGCCTCCAGGCCAGGTCTCTCTCACTGGGTGTTCTCTTGTGAAAGCAGAACCCCAGAACTGCTCTGTTGGCTCAGACCATCTGTTTGGGAGAATGTGGTGGCTCTGGTCCCTTCCTATTTTCTGCCAGGGCCCCCTTGTTCAGGAGAAATGTAAACCAGTTTTCTCTCTGACTTTACAGAAAAGGCAACAGATGGCTCTCTGCAAAGCGAGGACTGGACACTGAACATGGAGATCTGTGACATCATCAATGAGACAGAGGAAGGGTATGTGTGTTCCCTCTACCCCCTCCTATGAGGCTTATCAGCTCCTGAGTGTCACTCAAAGCCTGTGAAGACTTAAGAGTGTTAGGTGTTTTACTTTTTGATTTGTTTTTAGTCTGTTTGCTTTGGCATTTAATACGCTGACACTTTTTCTTTTTTAATTGATTTTAGAGAAGGGTGGGGGAGAGAGAGAGAAAAGCATCAATGTGAGAGATACATCAATCCATCGATCGGTTGCCTCCCTATGTGCCCCAACCAGGGATCAAACCCACACCCTAGGTATGTGCCCTGACCAGGAATCAAACCCACAGCCTTCTAGTGCATGGGACGGTGCTCCAACCAGCTGAGCCACCCTGGCTAGGCAACACTCGGACACTCTTAATTACCTTTCCTCTTCCTATCCACTCCGCCCCCACCTTCCGAGATGGCAGTGCTGAGTCAGAGCACTGGCAACCTCTTTTAATAACCTGCTTTTAATCACAAGTGAAAATGAAGTTGCTTGGTTACTTGGTCCCTAGTGCTTCATTGGTCTCCATAGCCAGATCATCACCTCTGCCCACCTCTCCTTTCTGACCTCTGCCTTCCCTTCACAGATGTGAGGCTGTCTCAGCCCTGCTTTGCTGGGCTGGGGCCGTAGAAGTCAGAGAGCATGCCCACAGAGCAGCCTGGTTTTTCTGCAGTGGACAGACTTAATCCACAGGCCACCCCTCTCGCATCCCAGTGCTACTGAGTCCATTCTTGTTTTATGCACGATATAGCCTCTTTTCTATATCACAGCTACATTTTAGTTACACTTCTTCCAAAGTAGTGTGTATTTGGCCCTCTCTCCACACCAAAAAAAAGGAATTTATCATCGCTATGTCGTCTTAAATCATCTCCATAGTGATAGGAGAACAGCCTGGACTCAGGCAGCCCTGAGCTTGTGCTGTGATGCTGTCCCTTATAGCCTTGTCATGTATAAATTGGGGACCAGCCTCTTAAGTTTGGGCCTGCTTTCATTCAACAAATATGTACTAAATGATGACCTTGTGCTGGGCCCTCGTGTAACTCCTGAGGACACAGCAGTGAACAGGGCAGACAGACTAGATAGCTAGAGATAACTAGAACTCATGGCATGGGCAGCTGGTGGTAAGACTATTGAGAGAAGTGAAGCTGGGGAAGGAGAAGGCTGGTAATTAGCCATTTAAAATGGAATAATCAGGGAAAGCCTCACAGACGTTGCATTGAACTAAGACTTGAAGGAAACCAGGAAGTGAAGTATGAGGATTATACCAGGGAAGGACTTTCCAACAGAGGGGACAGCGGCCACAGAAGTCCTGGGACAGGGGGTGTCTGATGTGTTTTAAGAATAGTGAGGAGGCCCTGACCGGTGTGATTCAGTGGTTAGAGCATCAGCCTGGGCACCAAGGGGTCTCAGATTCGCTTCTCTGTACCTGAGTTGCAGTACCTAGGTTGCAGGTTCAATCCCTGGCCCCAGTTGGGCACGTCTGGGAGGCAACCAATTGATGTGACTCTCTCACATCAATGTTTCTCTCACATTTTCTCTTCCTCCCTTCCACTTTCTCTAAAAACCAGTGGAACAGAGTGAGCGAGGAAGAAGATGTCAGGAGGTGAGGTCAGAAATGTCCACGATCCAGGTAACAGGCACCACAGGGCTTTGGGCTTGACTTCACACAGCAGGGGCATCCCTTGGAGGATTTGAGCAGAGAAAGGGCATGGTCTGACTTCCATTTTAAAGAAATCACTCTGACTACCATGTTCAGAATGGCCTGGCTGGGAAGAGACCAAGGGCAGAAATGGGAAAACCAAACACCAGTCAGGAGGCTCTTACAGTCATCCTGCTGAGATGATGGCAGCTTTGACTAGAATCAGAGGACGAGGTGAGAAGTGATCCCATACTGAGTATATTACCAGGGGGCACTAATGACATTTGCTGACGGAAGTGAGAGAAGAGGAGAGTCAAGGATATCAGGGATGGAGCGGACTGGGGTGCAGCAGCTGGTGAAGCCCCCAGTGGGCGATGCTGACAGGATGGTACAGAGGGGTCTGGAGCTGGGGGCAGTGACCTGGGTTGGAGATTGCATTGGGGAGTCTTCGGTGAAGATAACCTATTTCTGCAGTCTAAATGTGGGTGAGCAGCTCGGTGTCTGGCATACAGATGGGAATCAGAGTTGTTGGGGGCTCCACGTGTCTAAGGCCATAGTCACTGGGCTCACACTCGTCATCTTCCTGCAGACCCACGTGGGCTCCTTTCTTCTTCACGTCTGTCTCAGATGCCACCCATTTACTTGTTTATCTAGCTGCTTAGCCACATTTGTTGGCCCCACAAGTGAAGGCCCAGATGCCAAGGTGAGGGATGTCAGGAAGAGGAGAAGCATTCCATGTAGCTAAGGGTGCATGGCAAGAGCAGAATGGTGGGCGTACAGGTGGCCTGGGTGTGCAGGGAAGAAGTGGGGAGGGGTTGTCTGGAACAGAGTCTGAGAAGGTGGGTCAGGTTGTAAGAGCCTCTTCCTGTGTCATCCTCTGGAGTTGGGCTGTCCCCGTGAGCCGACCATCTACCTTTGTCTGTTCTCTATGCTGCGGCAGAGGGGCTCCTAGAAATGCAAAACTCACAGAGCTACTCCCTTGCTAACAAGCTTTCTCTCTGGGGAAAACCCTTCACAGACTCTGTGGGATAACCTGGCCCTGCTGCCACTCCATTTGGGGTCCTTTCCTCTTGGCCTCACCTTTCAGCCCCAGTGGTCTTTCAGCCCCTTGACCTTTCCATAGCCCTGTACCCTGTTTGCATTTCACAAATGTGAGGGACATACACACAGATGTTGGAATGGGGCCTACTCATTCCAGAGGGACTGAGACTTCCTCCCAAGGTCTGGCAGCCGTGTCAGCTGCTCCTTACAGTCCTCACAGTGCTTTCCTCTGAAGTGACCCACACTCCTGTTCCTGCAGTTTCAGAGACAGCCCCCTGTGTTTCCCAGGATGTCCTGTCCTTGCATCTGCTGTGAGGTGACTGCCAAGATCTCTCCCCACAAGTCTGGCTAACGGTCGGTTCCCTGCCCCCTTCCTCCTGCTTCAGGGCTCCAGTCCGAGTGTTCCTCTGTGCCCTCCCCATGCCTCTCCCTTTCACTGACTGATTCTTTCATTCACTGCATCTTGTTTCCCTGACACCCCTCCCTCAGTTACGTGATTTCACAGTGCCCTACATTGTACTCACTCTCCTCACAGTTCACACTTCCATACCTGTGGGATGTTTGTTAGAGTATCTGTCTCATCCCCACTGCCTCCCAAACTGTGCACTCCATGTGGGCAGAAACTGTTTGGTTTTGTTTATTTTGTTAATCCTCACCTGAGGTTATTTTTTCCATTGATTTTTAGAGAAAGTGGAAGGGAGTGAGGGAAGAGGGGAAGAGAAACAACGATGTGAGAGAGACACATAACTGGTTGCCTCCTGCACACGCCCCAACCAGGGCTGGGGATGGAAACTGCAACCCAAGTACGTGCCCTAGACCAGGAATCAAACTCTTGACCCTTCAGTGTGCAGGCCGACACTCTAACCACTGGGCCACACTGGCCAGGGCCAGAAACTCAGTTTTACCACCGTTTCATCCCCAGCACCTAGTGTAGTGTGTGCACAGTTGGCTCTGATAGATATTTGTTAACTATGTGAACAAATGAGTGAAGTCCCTGTGAGGAATTGCAGGAATGTGAATATAATCCTAACACAATGGGACAGTGCTCTGAGAAAGGAGCTTGCAGAGCTAACAAGGGAGACTGGAGCAGTGGCAACTAGCTAGTCTTGGGGCCATTGCAGCAAAGAGTTCTTGAAGGAAGTGACATCCAAGTAGAGTGTTAGGTCAGCCAAGTGAGGGGGTAGATGCCAGGGGAAGCAGGTAGACCCCCAGGCTGGAGGCCAGTGTAGTGGAAGGGGAGTGTAGTGGGATTAGGGGCATAAAGCCTGGAGCTAACAGCCTAGGCTGGAATCCTCGGTCCTCCACTCACTTGTCATATGACCCTGGGTGAGTTACTTAATCTCTCTGTGTCTCAGTTTCCTCATCAACAAATGGGGGTATCAGTAGTACCTAACTCGTGGGTTTACTGCCCTTCCCTCGTCAGCCATTCTCTGAGCACTTGCCATGTGCCCGTCCCCCGTGCCGAGCCCTCCGTTGCACCAGCTCATGCAGCAACTGCCCCCCCCCC